ATTAAATTGTTAATTTATAAATAGTGGTTTCTCACCTGTTATGTCAAATTCACATAAAAAATAGTTGTTCTCCCTATGAGTATGAAGAACCTTTTTCGTAAATTCTCGTCTACTAAAAAATTTGTATTCCAAGACAGAACAAAAAGGACAATATACAGGATGGGTAGAAGAAGTTGTGATATTTGGTTCGATCCATGATCTGAAACGACGCTACGGGATATAATATATTAAACGACTACACCAATCCTAAGGATCCATAGGCTTAATTGCGGATCTAGCACAACAATAAAAATGTTTAAGTTGTTTCGTCTTAGATTTTTATTTCAATTTTTATCCCTAGGTTTGAGGTAGATGTTTACTTGGTTCCTGAATTTTCAATGAACACTTTTGGTCATGTGGTTTGAGGTATGTGTCTAATTGGTCCTTGAAGTTTGAGAAATAGTTTTAAATGGTCCATGATTTTTTTTACTGTTAATTAACTAATATTATAACGATGTGACAAATTACAGTTAATTTGTTTATTGTAGTTGCTGATGTGACAAATTATATTAATTAAATGATATATGTGTAGGTGATGGTGCTTTCTCCCTCCTCTCCCCATCTTTTCCTCTCTCCTTCTCTTGCTTTTTCTGATGACCACCACGTATTTGCCGTCGCCGTCACTTCATTTTAACATTAGTTAATTAACAGTAAAAAAAACGACCATTTAAAACTATTTCTCAAACTTCGGAGACCCAAAGTGTTTATTTTAAAACTTGAGGGACCAAGTTGACACATATTTTAAATCTCAAGACCAAACATGTTTATTTTAAAATTTTAGGGGCCAATTAGACACGTACCTCAAATCTCAGGGATCAAAATGGACGAAATAAGGACTAAGTATTTTACCCTAAAATTAATTTAATTAAAGAATGACAGCTGTCGGCTGCTACTAAAGCAAGAGTAACGGCTTGCTGACTAGGACCGATGAATCCCACCGCAGCTTTCGGTATAATTTTTTAATTACATTTCACAAAATTTTAATTAAATTTTTTTTCTTTGAAAATTACCCTTTTTTTCATTTTGGAAGATGCCTCTTCCGTGGGAGCCGCCGCTGGGATCAGTTTCCATAGTCTCACTCATTTTTTTCCCTCCAAAACCCTCACCCCTCACTTTCACCTTCCCGCCATATCGTCCCTGATCCTTAATCCCTCTTCCGATCAACTTTCCGGCGCCGGCTAAATTATCTCCGACGTTTCTCCGTCAGTGATTAGAACCAATTTTCTGCAATAGTTTCGCGGTTCGTCGTTGTTGGATTTTCTTTGCTGCAGAAGAATTGAAATGGCTTCTTCTGGGAGCGATCCCGAGGATATTGATTGTACGGATACTGAAGTGTTTGACGGCCATCTTTCACCGACCACCTCTTCTGGTAAAAGATTTTGATTTTTGTATAATTTTCGCTTGAAGTGATTTTAATGTGGTAAAAGTTTTGGCCTCGATGTTCACCCATTGTGTTTCTGAAGTTGCTGGATTTTACTTTTCCATGTATTTTAGTGTGATTTTCGAAGTTTTCATATTGTGAATGATTTTTCTTGGGGACTGTTCTTGGATTCCACCTTTTTAAGAGTTGAGATACAAAGCTCTGATCTTTTAGCAGTGCTCAGTGGTGACTATTTAAACTGTGGGAAATTTTCATTTTTTTAATTGTATTTGGTGTGTGAATTTTAACCTTAGACTGTTGATGATTTCGTCAAATTGATATTGGTTGAGTTTGGGCATTTTATTGCTACATTTTGAGGTTTTCTTTAACATACTTGATTTTGTAGCTAGGTTTCGTAATGGTTGGGTTTGGATATTTCTATGGACTGATTTCGAGTGTTTTTTAGGTTGAATTTAGTATGAATTATTGGTTAGTTATTAAACAATTTTCTAATTTTTTTATTTCACCACATGTTTAAGTTTATGATTCAATTTGATGGCGGTAAGATTTAGGCTAAAATTGACTCACTTGATCATCAAGTATAGGAGTAAAAGTGAGCTTTTTCCAGCCACAAATCACATACAAATAGATTATAGTGGCTGTGACTGGAAGCTATTTTAGTTTCATTTTGATTGATCCTATGACTTGTGAGAACAGCAATAAAGCTTCAAATTCTTCAGGAACAACTCATTTTTATGACGACAAGTTTGAAACTCAAGTAGTGGATCTTGCTGGAGAAAGTCAAGCAGTGGATCCCATAGATGATGAGTTTGAAACTCAAATAGCGAATCCTGCCGGAGAAACTCAAGCCTTTGATATTGCAGGTGAAACCCAAATCTTGAGTCTCTGTGGTGAAACCCAACTACTCGATGATGATCCTATTCCCACTTGCATTGAAAATATGGACTTCAACACTCAAATATTGAATGATTTTGATGATGACGTTGGCACTGATTGCTATGATGATGAAGGAACAGACACAACTGAAATTAATAGTGATGAGGATCTATCTGGTGATGAATCAGCCCAAAGTTTTGACCAATTAGTGGATTGGGAGAAAGGCCTATTGACCTCTCTTCCTGAACGAGACGGGAGGAAGGATTATGAGGAGCTCCCGGATAAGTCGACTGATAAAAAATGTAATTCAGGTATTATTCTTTTAAACCAGTGACCAATAACAAGTCTTTGTGTAACTCTCTCGATCATTGGCAATTAGATACATCTATTTCTTGTAGCTTTGAGCAGGAGCGGAGTTTGAATGAGATATAATTTGGTTTGTTTGTTGTGTACGTCAAGTAGTTTTAGAGTAGTGTTGTAGTAGTTCCTTGTTTTCAGAATGTTATGTTCATACTATCGATTATCGTGAACACAGACATCAAGATATTTACAATATGTTATTAATAATGTTTTGAGCTATCACATTATATTTTCCTTAACTTTTCGAATGTGATTTCAGTATTCATCATCCTGATGAGGTGAGTTTTAGACTTTAGTCGAATGATGTCTTTGCCAAGAGGCCAGAGGGTAGGGAAAAAAATAGAATATATAGTTTTTCTTGGGCTGATAAAAGTGATCATGAGATGTTTTCTGTGCTGCAAATTGTGATTGTTTCATTCAAGCAATATGCTTAAAATAATTTATATTCTCTTAAGAAGTCATGAATTCAGTTTTCTTTTATTTCACCTTTGCAGGGCCCACACGACTTGTTTCGATTCGTGCAGCCTCATTGCGTGCCTCTGGTTTAGCTGCAGCCCGCAGTTCTGCCTCACAAACTAGAAACCCCTGGCCATCTTCTGTTATTAGTGACAAGGATATAGAAAAGTCATCCTTGAAAGATAATCACGTTGATCGGCAGATCAATCTTGGGCAATGCTGTGCGAATGCTGGAGAGCTAGGTAACATTAAGTGCAGGGTTGGCAGTTCAGCAGTGAGAAAACTTTTTACTGAGGATTCTACACCTGCTAATGATTTAGGAGATCTTCATGAATTGACTGCATATGATGGTGATCAGTTGGCAGGGTTAAGCTATGTCGACTCTCAAGAACCCGGCGATTTAACGCAAGATAATGCTCTTGATTTTGTCGAAAAGTTTCTTAAAGATAACTCCATGGAGTTTGATCGAGGAGGTACCTGTAAACTGGATGCCATGGTACAATCAAAGTCAATTCCTAACCCAAAAGGACAATATGATCTGGCTAACATTGTTAACTGTATAAGAAGAGTAGGAGAATCAAAAGTTTTTGACTGGGACGATAATCGGGAAGATGAGACAGGTGGGGATCTTTTCTGCAGAAGGAAGGAAGAGTTCTTTACAGAACCTCGAAAACTGAAAGGAAGAAGACCGGACTCGAATGGTGCTAAGGAAGGATCTTCTTTAAGTATTGAGAATACGAAATCAAGGTTTTTTTGTTCTGAATCACGTCTAGAGTTGGGTAAAGGAAAAGAGAACAATGAGTCAACCCGAGAAACCACCATCAAATGTAAAAAGAACCTACGTAAGAAATTGGACCAACAGAATGATGGCGTTCCATGTAAGGGACAGTTGGAAGATGATGTCATCGAGCCTGATGAGCAAGAAGTCCTTAATGTCGGTTTTGATACTCAGATGGCAGCCGAAGCAATGGAAGCATTATTCCATGATGGGAATATCGATAAATTAGTTAATAATGGAGAAAATAAACGTTTGGAAAATAGTCGGAAGGATTCTTTTGGTGGTTCTCCTGCTGGAAAACCAGACTATAGCTTGAACTTAAGGCAATCTGCTAAAAGGGGACGTGCTAAGAAAAGAAACACAGTCAATACTGAAAGAAACAGGCAAAGGGTGTTGTCACAGAGGAGTTCTGGAAATCTCATCAAGTCTTGTGAAAATGAGACTGTAAAAATGCCGGGGAAGGGTAAGAGGACAAATGCTGATAAAATCAGTGAGAACGAAAACTCTGGTTGTGTATCCAATAATGGATGTAGGACGGTTCAGAAGTGGCCTTTATGTGAAAAAGTTGTCGAGGTTTCACCTGTTGCTCATCGAACTAGGCGTTCGAGGATAGCTAATCAATCAAAAAATGCTAAAGCAAAGAGAACGAAAGCTACTGAGGCAGTTTCTAAAACACTCAATATGAAGACGAAAAAAGGCACTAAAAATGATGCAATTAACTCTGCAGGAGAACGAAGTTCATGTGGTATGTTAGCTGGTGAGGTCGGTCTATCTGATAAATTTCTCGGGCAAACTGTGAACCGGCGCAAAAGGTCGCGTAACACACAGAAAACACGATCATCATTACGTCTGCTTTCGCCTCTTTCTTTAAATGAGAACTTGGAAGGACCAACTGTTGACAGAACAGATGCAGAAAATGCTCATGTTTTAAGTTTAACCGTCGATATGAATGTTAACAAAAAGAATGATGGACGTACAGTTTCGTCTGTTGTAAGGACTACGTTGGAGGAATCTCCTAGTAAAAGGCGTAAACCATCTATCTTGGTTTGTACTACTCCGCCTGATAACTGTAGAACACCTGTAAATGCTGCATCACCAGTTTGTATGGGCAACGAGTACTACAAACAATCATGCAAAAAGAGCCGCTCAAAATCATGTCTTCTGAAAGAAATCCGTGACTTAACTGCGACGGGGCTTGTATCGGGATCCTTATCGACTGAATCAAGGAAGCGAAAAGATATGAACGAAGTTCGAGTCTTGTATAGCCAACACCTCGATGAGGACATAATCAAACAGCAAAAGAAGGTAATTTAAGTCTTCAGATCCCATACTCTTTTAGCTCCTGCGTGTAAGGTGGTCTCTTCAACTAATCATTCATCATCCTTATTGATTCTCTTTCAGACGTTGGCTCGCCTTGGGGTTACCGTGGCACCATCCATGACCGAGGCGACGCATTTCATAGCGGATAAATTTGTTCGTACGAGGAATATGTTAGAGGCCATTGCTCATGGTAAGCTTGTGGTGACACACCTATGGATTGAGAGTTGTGGACAGGCGAGCTGCTTCATCGACGAAAAAAATTACATCCTACGGGATGCCAAAAAAGAGAAGGAATTTGGATTTAGTATGCCTGGTTCCTTGGCTTGTGCTCGGCAGCGCCCTCTTCTAGAGGTGATTTGTTTCTCAATGTTTAACCAAGTGCCTTTGTTTTTTGCCTTCTGTAATCTTTAGTTTTCACAATGGTAAGCTCCACAGGGTCGACGAGTCTTAATTACCCCAAATACAAAGCCTGGGAAAGACGTCATTTTGAGTTTGATCAAGGCGGTAAAGGGTCAAGTATGTTTCGCCTTACTTCTCTCATTGATTCAAGCATGTTTGGGAGTGATTTTTGCCGGCCAAAATCACTGTTTTAAGACAGTGCTATTTGGTAATATTGCATTTTGGAGAATGACTATTTCTGTTACACTATGATTTTGCCTAAAATTTTTTATGAAGTTTTTTTTGGGTCTTAGTCTTACACTCCTTTTAGCTAATTTGACAGTTTTGAAATTACTTTTGAAAACAAACCTTAATCATTCAAAAATACTTTTTAATTATATCAAAATGATTTATAATTAAACATATTTTACAAAAGTCATTTTAGAACATGTATTTGTATTTTTTTTGCTTCTGCAATTTCATGGGATTGTACATGCTTTTGTTTGGTTTGACACAAAATTATCTACTAGTTTGTTTGGTCTGAATGATTTTTTCTCTTCTCCCTTCTCTTTTTGCTGATGATGGTTGTGATGCTATCAGGCAGTGGAGAGAATTGGGCGTTCTATGCTGAAGGATGACCAAATTCCAGATGATTTGTTGGTATTGTCATGTGAAGAAGATTATGATTTCTGCTTGCCTTTTCTTCAAAAAGGTTAGTTAATATTGACCCTTTTCATTTTTATAGCATCGAAGTGGATAATTGAGACCTGTTTGATAACGTTTTCTATTTTTTGTTTTCTTTGTTTTTAGATCTACTCACTAGATCTAAAAAGCATTCAAAAACTTTTTCTTTTTTTTTTTGAAAAATTGACTATGATTTTTATAGCGTTAGGAAGAAAGTATGTACCTAAGTAAATACAATAAAATTAATTTTAAAAACAGACAAAAAGGGAAAAAGAAAAACAACATTGTTATCAAATGAGTAACCAAATTTATAGCTTCGTTTCGTTTTTAGAAAATTACTAAGTGTCCTTTGCTTGTAGGCGCTGCAGTGTATAGTTCCGAGCTGCTACTGAATGGGATTGTAACTCAGAAGCTCGAGTTTGAAAGGTCGGGTATTTTATTATTTGTTAAATTACTCACTTCTCTTCATAAAAGCTCAGTTTTTTCATAAAAAAATTTATTTGTTAAATTACAGCTAAAAATTTATTTGTCTTTTTATCTCCTGAACTTTCACCAAAGAAAACAGTTTTATTCCTAAAGTTTTGAATGGGTTTGAGATGATCCCTGCCATTAGTTTGATCTGAATAGAAAATTAGCCTTCATCAAGCTCGAGTTGATCTTCATCTTGATTACACGACGTCCTTTTAAACATTAAATAGAAATGAAACAAACCTCACACATCCTAAGAGCAAACACCATTTGATGCTTGTTCTTGATAACGTCGATCTTTCTCTGCAGGCATCGTCTTTTCGTAGATCATGTCAAGAGGACTCGTTCAACGATATGGCTCAAAAAAGATGGCAATAAGTTCCATCCCGTTGCTAAACATCAATAACTTTATTACTTATTCGTTGATTTTCTCTTGGGTTATGTTATTTCTAGGTGTTGCAGTCTGTACATTATAATCATAGTTTTTTCCTTTTTTAAACTTTAATCATAGTTTTGATGTGCTCTATATAGTATATATTAGCTTTCTTTAGTTTCATGTAAATTTTTATGCTGTAAGAGAACAAGAGAGGTACATGTTTTATCATTTTATTTATTCTTTTTATTGTTTTTAACTCGTCGATGTGCAACCATATTTCACCGAGTGATGTAATATAAATCAAGTAACTTTATACAATCTAAATGATGAAAATTTTTAGGTGTTTGTTCAGTAACATTTCTGTTTTTTATTTTTTGTTTTTTATTTTTTATTTTTTATTTTTTGAGAAACATAATTATTTGGTGAATATATCTATTTTTAATTCTTATTTAAAAATTATTTTCAAAATTGGGTAGAAATTTAAAAAACAACAAAAGGAGGGTTTTTTTGTTTCTTCACGTTTTCAGTATTTTTCAAAATATGGATAAAAATGTTATTTTATTATTTTAATTTTTAAAAGTATAATAAATCTAAAAAGTAAAGTTTTTGAATATTTAATTAAAACATTAAATTTCATACAAAACTTTTATTCTTTTTCTTTTTAATTTAAAATTTTAGAAAACAATAGATGTTATCAAATTTGTTTTCTTTTATTTTTTAATTAAAAATAATAATAAACAGTTATTCAATGTAGTTGTAATTTTTTTTTACTGAAAAAGAAAGAAATGAGAAACAAGAATTCAAACCAAACCCATATAATCAAGACTTATGGTTGAAATTTTTCTGCATTAAACTTTACCAATGAATTTATATATAATTAATTAATTAAACGGTTGATTTGTCAAGTTGAGTATAGCTTATCCTAATTTTCAATCAAAAAATAAAAACCCTGTTGATTTAAATAATGTGATCTTTTTCCAGAAGATTAGAATTTTCTCAATTTGCTCATAAAAGTTGAGAAACTACTTGAGAGTGGAACTGCTGCTAAAAATTTACAAGCTTGAGTAGTGGATACTCATGGCCTTTTTAAGTCTTTTTGTACATGACATTGCAAAGATATAACAGAAAACTGCTTCCAACGGATCAGAATTCGCTATACGAAAAATATATACGGTGCATTGATACATGTCTTCAAAGTTCAAGCATAATCTTCGTTCATCACTACCAGTTGTAGCTTCCGCTCGATCCCATCTATTGATATTGTCGATACGTACATTTGAGATGATGATCGTTACTCTTGGGATACCTGAATTTTCTGTAAAATGGAATCTACCTGCATTTTTGCTGTTCATGAACCGAATTATCTTCAGTAATCTTGGGGGCTTATCGTCTTTAGAATTTGATCATACCGGGTTAGGATTCTGAGCAACTCGAACTCGCCAAATGTAGTAATTAATGTATAGAGCGTTCAGGCTCATAGCCACACCTAAACCCAAGACAGCAGACAGCAATATGGCATGAATGGCCTTCAGTTTCAGCTGCAAACAAAGACCAAAAGAAGGTTGTCATTATGATGTAGTAAAGGAACCACGACGGAAAGATTGGCTCGTGCTAGAAGCATTTGAATCTTGTAGCTTCATAGATTCGATTCGATGAATGCCCCCCATTGTTCTGGTAGAATCAATTCCAAGCTAATAGATAATCCACGATCAACTTCCTTTCACACAACCCTATCGCAGGGAAGTCGAATCCTTGCTGCCAAGGTGTTCTTTTACCTAAGGTAAAGTTGAAGATTTCAATCGGGTCGGGTCAATTTGGTTTTCAGAAACAGTTTTGGCCTTGGTTTTTGCCAAAAACCGACCCAAACCAACTTGTATGCATCCCTATTTGTTCCTCTTCACAAACAAGGTCGCGTTCTTTAACGGAATAATACTTTTCCTATACACTATACACCAATCAATTGGAGTTCGTAGTCTCTAGTTTCTAGTAGTAGTCCAGTGTTCAAAAAATAAGCAGAACCCACTAAATTTTTTAGCCAATAAAATAATGTGATAGAAATTCTTACTGATCGATGTATAGGCAAATATTTTCCTTTGCTTGAATTTTCATCTTTCAACCCAAATTTAAGACTGAATTGGTCCCTTTCTAATATGAATTAAGAGAGATCTCACAAGAATGAAACCAAATTTGCTATGTCTCATGCATGAAGATTTTACTCACCAAAGTATAGAATAGATGAAGAATGATAGCTACAAGTGCAAACTCAAGAGCTGCATATGTCCATATGTACTCCTTGATTGCTGTAAAGTTAAACAAGCAGGCAAATATTAAGAATCATAAATAAATCAGTTAAAGAAAAGTATTTAAAATTTAGTGGTGAACTCTACCGAGGATGACAGACAATATCGATGACAGGAGACCGAACACCAATGCAAACGGCGCAGCATAAGCGATCGCCTTAGTCTTCAAGTCATGAATCTAAAAACAAATAATTAAGGCAAAAACACCAATATTACAGTTCGACGTGAATGAAAGCAGAATTGAACATTAACGAAATCTAAGTACTGCGAGGGGATAACATCGAGCAGAAATAATTCGTAAAGAAATTTGGAAAATGGCATACCAGAAGCTGCTCGAGGAAGAAAAAGTAGCATATTGTGCTGATTAAAACAAGCACCACAAAGTCCTGCCAAACACTGCAACAAAATGCAGAAGTCAAGTTACAGTTTTCACTCAGGTATAAGAAACAAAAAACCAGAAACGAGCGTGAAATTTTCAAACATCATCAAGAAACAGAAACCGTTCAGTTGAATAACAGAACCTTTCAGATAAAGTTTAACAAATCCAAATTGCGATGAGCTGTTTGTTATACCCTAAGAAGCACGGACACGGACACGGGACACGGACACGGACACGGACACGACAGGACACGGCGATACGTCAATTTCTAAAAAACTAAGACACGGACACGCTGGGGATACGTTATTTATTTATTATTTTTTTTAAGATATAGGTAAATTTAACATAAAAATGCTAAATATACTTCGCTAAAAAACATAAATGTCAAGTAAATTTATTGGGTTGAAGATGTACCCCACTAAAAAGCATAAAAATAGTAAATGTAATCCACTAAAAAATCCTAGAGAAGGATTTGAATTTGATTATTGGGTCGAAGTTGTCATCCTAATTTAGTAAATCATATTCTACTCCAGTTTAATTCATATGAAATTAGGGAAAAAAGGAAGTAAGAATAGAGCTTATTTAATTTAACTCACACCAACAGAAGGGTGGGTCACTAGGTAGCGTTTTAGGGTTTTTTTTTTGTAGTTTAAGTTGTTGAGATTTCAGCCAAACTTCGTGGACTTCCAAAATTGGGCTAAGGAAACAATATTTTTTTATCTGGCGTGTCCCTCCCGTGTCCAAAACGTGTCCCCACGTGTCTGAAATTAAAATAAAAAATTTAATATTCGGACACTTTAAATTGCGTGTCGGACACGTGTCCGGACGTATCCGTGTCCGACACAGACACTCCTCCTTTTTTGCCGTGTCCGTGTTTTATAGGTTATACCTGATCGCCTGTGAACGGAAAGTTTGTTGATTTTGCGACTGCCTTCTGTCCCGTTGTGCGGTGGTGGGAATTCGGAGTAACGTGACGGGTAAATTCTGTACTTCCTGCCTACAGACTTCACAGTTCTTGTTTCCTTTTCTGCTAAACCATTCAATTGCACAATCTTTGTGTACAAGCCTGAGGTCTCCTTTGCAACTGCATTCCATTTTGAGAGTGTTTTCTTCTTTACATGGGTCAAGACAAATTCTACAAATTGCTTCCTCTTCAGCAATTTCTTCATCGTCGTTTTCCAAGGTAGCAGAACCATTTTCATCTGATACATGGAAATAGTTCGTGTTAGGTTCAAATATATAATCGTCCCTAAAGTTGGTACTACTTTTCAATTTTGTCTCTAATCTTTTAAAAGTTTTAATTTTATCCTTCTATGTATTCATTCTTTTTCAATCAAATCCTTATTCTCACTAGACATCAAGATTCATTGAAAAAATGATGATCTAACGTCGGGATACATTTTATTGACGAAGTAGAAAATATCCTATATTTTAATTCAATGAAATAGACATGTCTACACATAGAATAAGAAACTTATTTATTTCAGGTATCATTATGCTTATGACACATGTAGTTAAATGTTATAGTAAGTACTATATTCAAATTAGGTTAAATAATTTATGGACCTAATATATATATAGTACGTAATATTGCGCCCCGTAATAAAGCCATGTCTCGGTGTCTATGGGACATGAAGAGTGCTCATGGTATAAACTATAAAGCAATATTTAAGTTAGTAATAAAGGAAGGATTAATCTAAACAAGCTGATTAATTACTATCAAGTATTAGCTGAAACAAGAGTGAAAGTGAACTGAAAGTGAAAGTAGGGTATATGGATTTTTACCAGAACTAGTACTGGCCTCAGAATGCACATTACGGGTAACGAAAGATGTAGATCGTATTATAACGATATTTCTACCGGGCACGGATAGAGACCTCGAAACTGTACGGACTGCTCCTTTCTGCAAGAATTAACCACAATTAGAAGACCAAATTACGGTTCTGAAACAAGCGCCATTGCTCGTGTCAATATAATAAGAACTATAAAATGATAAAAAGAGGCAAGGAACCAAGAAACTGAGGTACCAGCAAGTTTTTGTATGTCAAAAGTTAAAAAATGAATGTAATACGAGATAACTCACACGTGGGATTGGCCTTTCATCGGTTTCAATCGGAGTTGTTGTGGCAGGGAGGGGAACCACGGGGGACAAGTTTGATGCTGGAGTAACTGGGAGAGAGGAGGATCTTTTCCACGAAAATGCCGAAGCAAAAGCAGCCATTATTGGACTTTCAGCAGTTGTCCTCGGGTCCGAACTCAAAAGTGAACTTCTCTCACCCTCAGCAACAATGCCTTTTCTCTTAAAGCTTAAAGCCCTCAAGAAGCTTCCTGGAGATAAAACACCATTATTGGAAGCTTGAGATTGGAGTAAACCTTTTCCACTACGGCTTTTACCAAAGCCGGACGATCTTGGGGGTATTTGAAGTGAAATATCAGGACGTCTCCCACTACGTCCAGCATCGGAAGTCTGTTCATTTTCGGATTTTAAAACATCAACCTGCTAATTACAAATATTCGGATACAAATACAAAGTCATATTAGATTCATTGTCTATCCAGGCAGTTCTATACATAATTAAGTTGTAACTCACAATGGAAAATTTTCATGTGGGACAGTAAAATTTTACATTGTAATGATATGAAAGACATCTCAGACTCTTTATTCTATTAAGAATAAATAATTTTATATTTCACTTATTTTTAGCTCACAAATTCTTCCCATTTTAATGGTTTCTCCAAGTTCAATGCCACAAATATTTCTATGATGCAGCTAAGTAACTCTAAGGATGCCCGCAACCCAACCCGAGCATAGTCCAATTGTAAGAGGCATTTCGATCTCCTTTAGGAGATTGTAAGTTCGAATTCTCATTCTATAATTGTGATCTTATGACATAACATTTTAAAAAAGAATAATAAGAACTATAAGGATCAAGGATGTCCTGTTAATCGTCTTCCCACATCGAAGCCACGATATGCAAAAATAACTTCAATGTTTTAAATTTTAATTATAAAAACTCGAGAACAATTGCAAGCCCGAGCTCCCTATGTGAATTATCTTAAGGGAGACTTGTCTAGGCCACATTGTTCTAAGCGAGTCACCTTGTGGCTTCCAACTTCACTACTCGTCCGGGGCATTCACTGATGATCGATCCTCAAGCCAGTGTATTGTATCAAGGATTTTCCAAACATCCATCCATTCAAGTCCTATTGTGATTCAAAATTTTAATTATTAAAATATGATGTAAATAAGAGATTAGGCAATGTTATTAGATAGATTTATGAATCTATGATATGTGATCGTTTTACTACTTTCTTT